ATCGTGACGGCCACAGACGAATATTAAAATTTAGTTACCATAACCTATATAGTCATCTCCAATCTGAGGATATAATATTATGGTACGTTTGTGTCATCTATACATATATGAAATAACTAACTATTCAGTTAGTATATCATATAATAATATATTTTACATTTAGAGTAGAAGAATACTGTGAGACGCGCTGTTTCAACGTTCTCACTATTATAATTTATAAGTACCACGGTCTTATGGAGAACCATTTGAATCTATTTGAACGTAGGAGTTGTTTAAATTTGTAAGACTCATCGTACAGGTTTCTTTTTCAAATTTCGGATGTATATTATTACAGGATTTGACGAGAAGCGTCAATTACGTAGGTACTTCTAATATAATAATAATATGTAAATAAATCGCCTTCATCGGTCCAATACGCAACAGTCAAATGGTAACACTTGTTGTCTCCGTACAGATTTCATCGATTATCAAAAAATAAAAATTATTAATTACCATATATATCTATTGACACGGGCAACACATTTTTTCATCGTTCAATAAATAACATATAATATTCAACAGCAATTTGAAATTGGGAGGGTATTTAAGTCGCAATTATATGTTAAAGGGCAAGAGCCATTCAACTATAATTTATAAAAACTATTTATGGGCAAAACAACGTTTGTCGGGTCAGCTAATCTACCATAAGAAGACAACAATATATAATTCAATAATAACCTAGGTAGGTATTAAATCTAAAAAAAAACGTATGGCCATACAACTACAGTTTTGCTATGCTCGAACACCTATAACGCTTTGTATACCTATTATATTATAATATTATATGTTCGAACTTTTCTGGGAATCTTATACCTCGATCACTACTCCGACATAATATTATATTATTATTGTACATGGTCGGCGACGTATATATTATTAGCTTTTTACGGTGCCCGTTAATGGTGTTGTATAGGTACGTTGTGTTCAATATAAATCGTTAAAAAACGATTGCAGGTACACATTACGTTATACGAATAACGACTGCGACTTCGATCGATTTCACGTAGGTAGGTATATAATGTATGCAGTAAAAGAAGCAGTGTACTACAACAGCCTTTTGACAAAACTTTTATAGGCCGCGGACGGACGGACGGACAGAGGTCGTACATTATGATTGGACATTGCAAAGACATAAGACGCGGTAGTATACAATAATAATATTATTATTACAGTTACTGCCCGTTTAATATTATTATTATTGTTAGTATCGAACACAATAATATAATATAATATAATATGCATATAATATGACGTTCATGGACGGTCTGCGGGCGCACAATACGGTTTTTAAGTACCTGCATCGTACAGGCCGCAGGTAAGTCAAACGCATATCACCGGAGTCCTGCAGCATCATCATTAATCCGTATCGTAGGTATGTGTAGTATCATGGACATGTACATAAGTAATATTATAAGAGCTATATAATATACATTATAAAATGTAGCCAGTATACCGAGACCCGTCGTATAGTCATCATAATAATAATAATTATTGTAAATTATTGTAATGACAATAAAATAATATATATGATATAATGGCGCGCGTTGGTGTGAGCCAAGAGATCGAAACAATTCGACCGGAAAATCGATCGTCAGCATTAAAATAAACTGTGCCAATATATTATAATATAATATTATTATATAGTCGGTGGTGGATGTATATAATGTATACATGAGTGGTAGGTACATATTTTTATTCTAATACATGGGTATATGAGCGGCGTTCGGTGAATGTTTATTACGTATTGTTCAAAAACGTATATATTATTATTATTTAACATATATATATATACCATATGCTATTTGCTTTTGCATATATACATACACGTATATATATAGTATGCACATAAACAAATGACTTCGAGAGTTTCGCGCGCACACCATTGCCGCGGGACGTTCCTATATACCCGTCACGTACCTATATGTACATAATATATAATGTATGATTTGCGAAACGGTTTTTTTTAGCGAATTTGATTTATAATCGATTTTTCGACAATGAAACGCCGATAAATAGGTACATTATTACGGGCGTTTGACTTTTTCTTTTCTCTCTCAATTTCTTTAAATGGCGTAATTATTTACGACCGACCGAGTATTTCGAAGGTATTTCCAACTGGTTGTTGTAATATTATTATAACGTTGCAGTGTGCGGCGGCGGCAGTGTGATGCCTCAAGGGCCAGTCTGCTGCCACAGAGGTGCACACCGCGCGCGTGCAGCGCAGCATTCTCCGGTGGACTGACATCCGCAGCAGTCCGCTTGGCCACGGCGCACAGTGGTCTAAAAAGTTATTTTAGCTTGCCAAAATCCAAATTTCTGATGACCGCAAAATCATATTTGGAGTTTCTGTATTTATTAGGGACAACATATACAATACTACGATAAGTAAACTTTCTATAGTTGAAAACGGCCACACAATAACACATTCAAAGTTTGAGTAAGAGTGAAAAGTTCACAAAATATTATCTTATATTTGTTACGTTATGTGTTACTATATTACTTTTCGACAATTATTGTGAAAACAACTGTACAGTTTTAGGACATTTTTTCTCCAATAAACACAAAAGATCATTTAAATTAAGATAATACCTATATAGTTAAAATGTAATAGCTTATAGAATCAAAACTCTTAAATTTTAAAAATACATTTCGAAACAAAGCAAAATATTGATCATGAATTTTGTTAGTTTTATTTTAAACGATAGAAAACTACTTAAGATTTACAAATTTTAACAAGTTATCAGTAAGAGGTAGTACTTACATTAGATATATATGGTTTTGAATAATATATAATTTCCATTTGCCCCAATTCGCTCGAATTGATTACATGATTTTTTTTTCGTAGCTGAATGTAGTCGAGATGGTAAGTCAAAAGTAACTTATTATCGTTTTGAAAAAAATTTTTGTTTTATAGTAACAAATTAATAAACTTCTGGTTGAGTTTTAAAAATTAAAATTTTGTTTAAGAAATTAAAAATACAATTTAAATAAATTATTGTAAGCAATTTTATTTTAATTTCTAAAATGTTGATAATATTAGGTTGAATTTAAAAAAATTATGTCAAACTTGGGTTTTTGCCCCCAAATACATACATTATGCTTTATTTAATAATATGTAATGAGTAACAAATAAAAGGGGATATTCATTTTGGCAAGCTAATATCATTTTTCAGGCCACTGATGCCTGACACTCCAGCAACAGCAACATTGTTCTTTTTCGATAATCAACATTTTTGGATGCGATGTACACGATTTTACACTGTCAGGTGTTATAATGTACGTGTGTGTGGCGTTCATTTAATCCTAATTTACAGCAGAATACCTTGTCTATATAAATACCTATATTTTCGCTAGCGATTTGGTGTACTCATAGATACACTGATCCTACGTGTAAGCTCGGTTTTGTTTAAATTATAATAAAGTTTTTTTTTGTTTTTTGTTTTCAGGCTTCAACAACTATATAAGGCTATATAATAATATGTAAAATTGAAGTATAGAACATATTTTTTTTTACAATTATATACATTAATATAGTTAATTATAGGTAGGTACCAAAGCTTTATCAATGGCACACTTTTATGATACTGAATATATACCTATATATAGTATATTGTATGGTAAGGTTATATACATTATATTTATATGTATAAGTAGCTGGTTTCACTAACAATATGCTACATAATATGCCTGTAGTCTGTGTAGAAAAAACAATCGATTTTTATTCGATTTAGCGGCGAATCGATGTATATGGTTCGACCGTATTTTATTACATCGACGAAGATAAAAAAAAAATGAAATACGTCTCACTATGAGCGCGTGAGTGTCCATTATAAATTTTTGTTCGTCGAATTCCCTCTCGCATTGGTGTAGACCGAATAACGGAAAGCCCTCCGGGGTAATTCGTCGTGGTTTGGGGTCTGTAGGACGGTTATCGCATTAATCACACGGTAAAGGGGGATGTATTGGTTTGGTTTATAAATTGGATTTAAGAAGAACAAAAATCCGGAAAATGCGATTACCCATATAAGCTCTGCTTGAATTGTATTGCATACAGTGGCATTTTTTTTAGTTCGGACCGTTTATTCAACAAAGATTATGAGTATGCTGTTTGTACTACCTAACAATACGAGTATGAGAAGTAAAATTGATTAAAATAATATAGTGCGTTTATAAAATATATAGGATTAGTGTCATCGTTTCGACTGTAGAACACTAACTTATACTTGCAGCTTATACGATGTATTATGTAAATAATAAATATAAAAAAAAATATGCTAATTTTGTTTGTTTCGACTATACCTAGTCTTTAGTGATTTCAGTATAATTATAATGTAATACACTCTGTATGTTTAAAAATAGATATATTATATATACCGTTAAATTATAAATGTTTGGATACTTTTAAATTATATGTCTGCAGTAAATCGTTTATAATTATAAAACAGGGAAATAATATGTAATATATGATGTAAAGGTTAAAGTTCAATGTATGCTTGGAAAAATTGCTTATTGTAGTATTAATATACTACACATGCTTATATTATATTGTGAATAAATACTCAGTTAACTCTTCCGTAAGATGTAAATAAATATCAAAAAATACAGAATGTCACATTAAGACGTTATACTCTTATTATTAATATATATTTAAATATTGTCTTACAAGTATATACTTTTATAATTTACAAGCCTGTGGTATTACATAGGTATACAATGTATACAGATGGTGCACCAAATCTATATGCACCTACATTTTTAATTTAGTGTTTCGATGTGTTATTTATTGTCGACTGGTAGTTGATTTTTTTTATAACTATTAGGTATGTGATTCCACAACTATACAATGTATGTCATACATTATTATATTGAAATATTAAAAGTTCGAGAGCATTTATTCGAAGTCATACTCTTATTATAGTACTTAATACCCGTGTCCTATATATATTAATATTATAGCTCACCTGAAGTTGACGGCCAACAAAATGTTCCAAAACAACGCCTTGATGATGATACCCGTCCGGACTGTGCGCATAATGGGCCGGTGGAGCCCTACGATACCGGCGGCATGCCCCCGGGGCCGTCCCGTATACCGCCAGCCGCGGTCGGCTGTTCGCGTTGCGTTATCGTCACTCACCCGAGCTTTCCGCGCCCGCCGAGGGCTCAAGGAATTCGCGCGCCACCGCGACGCAGTTACCCACCGACAACGGACATCGATCGATCGAGACGAATCCAAATATTATCGGCACGACAACGCGTATTGTCTGAGATCACGACGCTTGCAAATTATAATATACGGTTTACCACTGTAGTTGCAGATATTTTATATGAATATTAGTAATGTATTTTATACGCGTTGCAACGTTAAGGTCGTAAAGCACGGCGGTCCGGAACTATTTTTAGACCGGCCCGGCGAAACGCACTGTCGCAGAATTTTGAATTGCGTCGCGTTCGATTTGTGTTGCATAAATATCAATATTAATATTACAGCATGCTTACGATGCATACGATCGCGGGACATGTACTCGCGTATACGTATTGTACGGAGGAGAGCGCGCGCACGCGAACTGTTCGACGTCGGAGACTTTAATGCCCAGTCCTGGTCGCCGCCGTCGTCGTCGTCGTCGTTGGCGGCGGCGGCATCGGCCAGAGGGAAACACGAACGGCCGGGAGAGCGGGTGAATTACATATATATAATATATATACTACCGAGAGAGAGAGAGAGAACGGCCTCCGCCGCCGACGACACGACACGCCTCCCGAACCTCGTAATTGGTTATACACCGAGTGTATATGATGCGATCCTCGGGCTGACGTGCACGCCTAATAACCGCAGCCTATTATGTCACGGGCCCCGAGACCCCCGCGGGTCATCGCCGCGAACGGTCGAGCTGTTGATGCTGCTGCTGCTGCTGCTGCTGCACGTCGCTCGTCGTCCGATCGGAGTGTTTTTTTTCAACGGTCGTGCACGACACGCCGAACCTGCCTACGACGTATAGGTATATAGATAATAATATATTAGTGTATATATATATATAAGTTCATAAATATGAATTTTAAATGATAAATAATATTAAATTTAGTCTTTCGGCCGCGACTCGAGTATAATTTGTATACAATATGATAATTTCGTATGGATTTTCATTGCGGTTTTCTCGTCAGCACGCTATCCCATATATATATTTATTTTGCACCTTGAATGACGCCCCTTTTTCGGTCTTTTGTCCACCAAAACACATACTATGATATACGACGCGATATATTATATAGGTATGTGTACCTATACTCTATCCGCGCTCGGTGGTAGTGTATATACGTGTGTCGATGGAGGTGGCGGCGGGCCTCGTCGTCCCTCAGTGATGTATATACACTGCGTATTATATAAACCGACACGATGTGTGAGGTATATAGGAATTATCCGTCGGGCGAAAGGTCTCAATTAAATCCGTCTCGGTCCGCAGTGGAATCGCAGAAAAATAGTCGGTTAATTATATCCCGCAAGCGGCACGTCTTCATCTAACGTCGTCATCGTCTCTTTGATCCCAGCGGCGTTTGTATACATATATATTATACACATTCATATTATATGTTTAGTCGGACCGCGACTTCACCGTATAAGCAGCGATTATACGCTGTACCGTTACATATATATATATATGTGTGTGTGTGTGTGTGTGTGTGTGTGTGTGTGTGAGTATGCATGTAGGCTTTTTCGCGTGCGATTATTTCTTTCTCCATACACTCATATAATAGGTATATAATAACTATATAATAATAACCTATATTATTAAATGTAATATAATATAATATACTTACCTACCGCGCGTCAGAAATTTTTTTCTTCTCCAACGATTATAGTAGCAATGCAACCATATTAAAACCTTATGATTGTTTTTATAATATGCGACCGACTCCGACGCATTTGTAACGCATATATAACATGATTTGTTTCAAGACTTTAAATAAACTTTTTAATCAATACGAGTATCACTTAAATACACCATTTTTTTCATACACTTCGAAAATAATTTACATTTATAACAAAAACATGAAGCACGATATGTTCTGTACACAAACCATCTTCCTGATCAGTTTTTATTTATTTTGAAAATAAAAAATGAATAGGTAGCTGCAGTTTAGTAATTATAATACAATACTTTTTTATTATAAAATAAGAAATATACCATAGATAAATCTATTATTAAAAATAATGTGTAAAATCATGTTCCTACTTACTCCGAAATGCGATATTTTATTTTCCAGTTTATTCGTACTTATATATTTATACACATCTGCCTACTTTCCATTATGTTGAAGGTATAGAGATACACTCAGAATTATTTATTTTTCGGACACCTACGCGAAAATAAGCTTGTAATATTTCATATATCCATGCCATTAGATTAAATGTAATGTTGTTTTCTTTTTGAAATCATATTAGGTATAATGTACAGACATTATATTATAGACTTGGATGATATAGTTCTGCTTTAACATATATACCTAACATGCGTTAACATAATATAGAGCCATATATAGGTATAGGTTGTGTTTGTGTATTTACTATACAATATAATGTACTGTATACTGAAAGTAATAATTTTGAATCTTAATGGACAATATTTTTGGAACTGATATTTTTATTTTAGCTAAAGAAAATTGTAGTTATTAGCTATTTATATTTTATACGTACAACTATATACGAAAACCTAAGCTTTGTACTGTCGTTTTTAGCTTAAATCCTTCTTTAATAAAAAAATGTCTTAACTTTCGTAGACTAGCGTATAGATAATAATATAAGTAACTCTGGGCTCTGGCATTCAATCTCCCATGGACGCATGTATATATATTATATATATTTATATATATATATATGTACACCAATAAACGTATTATTAAGGAATTATTTTCCTTTCATAGGTAGTATATAATATATGAGTAAGTTGGTGGAACAATTTGAATTAAATTACGTGAGTAATAAAGTTTACGTTAAATTGGGTAGTAATACGTACTAGTATATTAAATCCGATATCTATCTATAATCTACATTATATAATTTATTATCATGTGTATAAATAAAATATGTACACCGTGTATACATTTTGTGTATATACATCATACATGGTAAATATTGAAATAATTGTAGTCAATATAATAAATGATTAATATGATGGAAGTATAGCTGCTTATAGGTACAAATCTGTGTGTTAATATTTTTCTTACCTAATGAATAACTCGAATATATTTCTAAGAATATTGAAGATTGTTTTTTGTGGTAATGGCTAATGTGCCATGTACGTACTGATCATACTTATATTAAGTCATTATTAATGATACTATGATTGGTATAATATGTAATGAATATTAGATGACTTTACGGTTGGTAAGATAATCGAAAAATCGATAAAATTTCACTTATACAAATATAAACCTACAATAATTTTTAAATACCAAGTATACCTAACTATATTTGTTGGAAATTATAATTGATGTACGAGTAGGTACTATAATAATTGTTATTCTTTATTTAAATGGAGAAAATATAAAATATATAGTACTACTGGTACTACTATAGTACTAGTAGTATACCTATTATAAATTATATTATAATAATCAAAATAGTCAAGTAACTATATACGTTAAGTTAAATAGATATGCGCTCATAGATATGTTTAACTTATTTTAGATAAGAATTATAGCTATTTATGTAGCATGCTAAGTTCCAACTGCCAAGTACCATTGGTCGAATAAATCGAATCAATTTTTAATAGTATGTCAATAACGTCGATATTCAGGTATGTATATTATAAGGACAATTTTTTTGGTTAAATAATAACATGATATTATACAATTTTAATTATATCCCTACGGTGCTTGAAATTAACAGGTGAAAGTTGAAGTTATCATTATCAATATTATAATATCATTGCGATATAATTAATAATTTTAGTTCAGTGAACACTATGCCAATCCAGATTTACGAAAGAAATAATTCTAAAGAAACCACACACGTAACATACAGGATGATTTGTTGAGGATGCTGACCCCCATTTTCTCTTAAATAGTTAATAATACATTTATTCGAATTCTGATTTTTAAAATTGTTATGTTTACCCAAAGACCATATTTTCAAATTCTTGATATTTGTTGTAATATCTAAGGACTTAAGAAGTATCCTGTGGCGAAACAAACTTCTATTTTTCAAATGAGGTCCTCCTTTTTTACTTTAAATGATTTAGAGGATGCTGGATGATTTTCTTGAAAATGTTGATGTGTATAAATCAAAATTCTAATGAGTAGTTTCTGAGTTATTGAAATGTTTCCTACTAAGGATAAAATACCTTAAAAATGGTTTTTAAAAATATAAACTTTAATTAATATTCGATTTATTAATAATACATATATTTTTTCCATCAATTACAATTTAGATATATTATGTACATAAATATTGGTAATGTAATAGAAACCAATGGCTGAGCTGAAGGATAGAGATATATTATAGGCTATAATTGAAATTATTTATCTTGACTAAAGATATTGTTTTTATAATTTTAATTGTTTTTATCATATTGTCTAAAAAGTAAAAATTACTAAAAGCTAAATTAAAGCCATTAAGTGGTGTTCTAAATGATAGATTAATAATACATAATACATTTGTTGTACAGTTTAAAATTATTAAAATCACTTAGATTTTAATTATGCCTTGAGTAAAATTGTATAAATATTGTCCCAAAACCGTTGTGATTTTAAGAATGCCCAGTTTAATGGTTTCATAAATACTAATAAATAGGTATTTTAATGAATGGGGTCTATTAAAAATTTTACAATCTCATTATGTAGTATTGGTATATATTTAACGCTGTTGTAAGTAAGAATAATAATTGAATGGTTCTCTAAAAGTGAACGTTCACCCTAGTAATAAGTAATTAATAACATTTTAAAATCATCCAAATATTGGTTCGAATTTGTATTTAGATACATCAAGATTATCAAAAAAATATCTACTGGATAATTTAAAATGAAAAAGTGGGGGTCCTTATTTGAACAACAGAAGATTTTTTGTCTTGGGATCATTTTCAAGCGGTACAAAACATCTCAAGTATTCGAAAATAATATGGTATTCAAGTAGGTATTTATAGTTAAAAATTCAAAAAATCAGAATTTGAATAAATGCATTATTTAAGAATTAAAAGAGGCCGAGCATGCTTAAAAAGCAATATGTATATATTGTAATAAATCGATAACTTCATAATATTGAAATACACAAACGTAATAAAAATAATAATATACCTATTATAATAAATAATAATAATGTGTGTATTATAATATGTTTCAGTACTTCATGCACGATCAGTTATATTTAAAAGATCTTTTTGAAACGACAACACGTATTTATTATTATTATTATTAAGAAACACATCATACACAATAATGATAAACCGGAAACGTTCTCGCACATTCCTTCATACAATCATTATACCTAGGTAGTGCACTTGTGCGTAATCAAAAACTGACGCGGGCTCCTTCTGCAGCGTGACTAAGATGAGTGCGTCGCACTGCTATTATATATTATTAAACACGGTGTTATTACGCTGCTT